TCCCAATCAATCAATTCAATCAATCATCAATCAATCCAATCAATCAATCAATCAATCAATCAATCAATCAATCAATCAATCAATCAATCAATCAATCAATCAATCAATCAATCAATCAATCAATCAATCAATCAATCAATCAAATCAAATCAATCAATCAATCAATCAATCAATCAATCAATCAATCAATCAATCAATCAATCAATCAATCAATCAAATCAATCAATCAATCAAATCCAATCAATCAATCAATCAATCAATCAATCAATCAATCAATCAATCAATCAAACAATCAATCAATCAATCAATCAATCAATCAATCAATCAATCAATCAATCAATCAATCAATCAAATCAATCAATCAATCAATCAATCAATCAAATCAATCAAATTAGTCAGTCAATCAATCAATCAATCAATCAATCAATCAATCAATCAATCAATCAGTCAGTCAGTCAGTCAATCAATCAATCAATCAATCATTCAATCAAACAAATACATCAATCAATCAAACAAACAAATAAATACATGAATCGATCAAATCAATCAAATCAATATCAAGTCAAAATCAATATCAGTCAAATCAAATCAAATCAATCAAGGAATCAATCGATCAACCAATCAATCAATCAATCAATCCATCAACCAACCAATCAATCAACCGAATCAGTCCAGTCCAGTCCGAAATAAACAACCAATCAATGAAGTACAGTCAAGCGAAGGCAGTCGAACGAACAAGTGATCGCCAAAAAGATACAAACAAACAAAAACCAACCAAAACAAGAATGAAACAAAGAAAACAAACAAAACAAACAAGCAAACAAACAAACAAACAAACAAACAAAACACGCATACCAAACAAACCAACCAATAAACACGCAAACAAGCAAACAAACAAAAGCCCAACCGACCAACCAACCAACCAAACAAACAAACAAAGAAACAATGAAACAAAAAACAAACAAAAATCAAACAAATATATAAACAACCAAACAAACAAGCACACACACACACAAACAAAACATAAAAAAAAAACAGCAAGTAAGCAAGCAAGCAAGCAACCAAACAAACAAACAAACAAATAAACAAGCAAACAAACAAACAAAACACGCATACCAAACAAACCAACCAACAAACATGAAAACAAGCAAACAAACAAAAGCCCAACCGACCAACCAACCAAACAAACAGACAAAGAAAGAAAGAAACAAACAAACAATCAAACAAGCAAGCAAACAAGCAAACAAACAAACAAACAAACAATCAAACAAAAAGTCAAACAAAGAAACAAACAACCAAACAAACAACTGACCAAGCAACCAACCAACCAACCAACCAATCAACCAAACAGCCAGCCAGCCAAACAACCAACCAACCAAGCAACCAAGCAACCAAGCAAACAACTGACCAAGCAACCAACCAACCAACCAACCAACCAATCAACCAAACAGCCAGCCAGCCAAACAACCAACCAACCAAGCAACCAAGCAACCAAGCAACCAAGCAACCAAGCAACCAAGCAACCAAGCAACCAAGCAACCAAGCAACCAAGCAACCAAGCAACCAACCAGCACGCCAGCCAGCCAGCCAGCCAACCAGTCAACCAGCCAGCTAGCCAGCCAGCTAGCCAGCCAGCTGGCCAGCCAAACAAACGCGCACAAATCCGTAACAAACAATTGACCAACCAGCCAGCCAACCAACCAACCAGCCAGCCAAACAAACAAACAAACAAAAAAGTATTCATCATCAAAAAAGCATGCTTCCATCAGCAAAGGCGCCAAGTGATTTTCGTGCTCCCGGCGTCCCGGCGGCAACGGAATTCCTTTAGGATTGCCTCGGTGAAGCTTGCCATGCCCAGCAAGTCAGATATTGGCGTTTGCTGCCCCACCCTTTTTACTCCAGCGCATAGGAGCGCTACCAAAAGGCTCTCCTGTGGGCTAACTGGAAACGACCGCTAAACGCAGAAAGCTCAGCAACCGGACGGCTGGTAGCCAGCAAGACTTTGTGGCCGACCACTTTTTGCTTTGAGGGGCCCGATCCCCGATCTCTACGAGGCGCCGCTTTGAGCTTCCCAGGACCGCAAAGTACAAGATCTCTCCGTGAATTGCACCTGGCATCTCGACTCAAAATGGGTGTCCCTAGTCAAGTAGACAGGTGTCCAGCAGGGCAAGAGCTCCGGTTTTGCCGAGCCACTCGAAATACCTTAGGGGAGGGTGGAAGAAAACTTCGTCTAACACCCTGACTTGAGGCTCGAGCCCACCAAACCAACCCAACTAGGGACAAACACATAGCATGCACAGCGTGGTTGTCAAAAGTAGGGTAACAAGATGGGCTGCCCTGGTAAGTGGAAACACGGACAAACCCTGCTGTTTCTGGGGGTGTTCTCTGTCAGAAGCGGGTTGGTTGCTTCCCTTTCACCTACCACTTGAAAGGTGACTTTGATGGCAAACCCACGGGACCAGCACGGAATGTTGGGTTCCCTCGCCTCCAGAGACTGCGTCTTCGTCTTCTTCCAGCAGATCTTGCCTGCAGAAAATTGTTGCATTCGAGCTATCGGGGGCTAAGTTACTTTAGCTATTTGTGCAAGGGTTTGTTAACCAGCTAACAACCATTCGAACACATCCAACGGACCCCCAAAGGGGATGCTGGCAGAATGCAAAGCAAAGGACATCACCCATCGCAGGGAGATGTGTGCGGCGTAATCTTAGCATGGGCTCCCCCCACCCAAAGCTCTTTGATGAAAACCCACTGGCTGGGCTCTGTATTTTAAGACAAAACCTGGTGGGTTCTTGATGATCATTTGGTTTCGCCTGCAACACCAAAGAGCGAGCTCCAAGCATGACAACCCCAAACCCCCCCCCCCCCCGCCCCAGCCACAACGCCTCTCATAGAGACTCTGCCCACGTTGCCATGAAACCTCTGTAAGAGGACTCGGGGTTCCAGCGCCTTTGTTTCCCCTTACATCAATGACTGCCCACTGGAGCCTAGTACAAAACCATGGCAATCAATTGGTTATGATGCCTCCAAGTGGTGGGTCTTTGGGTATCAGTGTGTTGTTTATGCATAAATCTGCCAAAGGAAGCGGCACCCTACCAAAAAGGAGCGTCGCATATCCCCCAACCTGTTGTTTGGGTGGCTCAACAGAGCTCCTTGCGCAAGATGACTGCCAGTTGCATGATCCTCTGGCTTGAAAATTCAAACCCTGGTTCTTGCTGAGAAATGACTCAATGGCTGGTTTCGAAACCAGTCCCACCTTCAACCCCAAATCTCTTTGTGTTTGCATCGTGGAATCTCATTGTCGTCATAATGCTCTGGTCCAGTGAGACAGCACGGTTTCCCCACGGCACGCAAGTACGCAACGCCAAAAGACATCGCCTCGGGGAAATAAGATGTCATTGTGGGAGTTGGTGATGGGGACAACTGATGCGTGTTCAACTCGCAACCACCTCGCCTCTCCCCCAATTCAAGCTGAGTTCACCTCCCGACTGGATGGGTGTACGTAGCGTTCCAGATCTGTGCGCAGGTTGATTTGCGGCAAACACCCGCGATCTGCGTGAAAGACCCCGGCAGTTTTGTTTGGCCTTCGCAAACGCCACCGTGGCCTCGCATGGTATGGTTGGTGTCAACAGACACACGCACACACCTCACCAGCTGGGGTCAGACGGGGGGACCCATGAAGTAATTTACCAGGGGGGATGCTTTACTTCACTGATTGGTGCATCATTATGTCCGTGATGTGTTGTTTTAGTGTTGATGTGCTTTAAGGACTGTTGGTATGTAGGGCGGCTTGAACACTTCGAGCGCATCTGCGGCCAAGTTTGATGCGGCGGCCATTGGTGACGTGTGTCGTCCATTCCTACGTTTGCTCAAAAACCCTCAACTGACCCTCGCGGTAGCCAAACACTCAGGGAGCACGATACACATCTTTCCCCTAAGAATCCCACAAGTTGGAGAAATCGCTGCGTGTGGTCAGTTTACGCGTCGGCGAGCCTCTAGTCAGTCGAGTGAAAAGAGCGCTTTTCTCAGACTGGTCACAAAACTTGTTGGTGCTCAGCAGGGAATGAGAAGTGGAATGCCCCCTATGGTGGTTTCCTTTTTTTCGGGAATCCCCCAAAGAGGTTAATTCAACCAACACCCGGACTCGGAAGGTCATTCCCTACCTATCGAGCACCAGCAAGCAAATGCCAGGGTCGCAGCACCGGCTCAGGAGTCTTCGAACCGATTTGGTGCCAATGTCTTGGCTTAAGTCCGAAAGCTCCCAGGGAAAACAAAGCAAAGAAGACACCCGCAGAGCAGCATCGGACTGGGCACAACCTCTCCTTCTGCCCGCCAGAGAAAAGAAAAAAAACACCTCAAGTCCATTTCACGGGCCGAGCTGCTTACGTCTTTCTGCGCTGACTCGAAGTGCGGCACCACCTTCCCCGATGCTTGGATGCACGCACAGCCCATGGCTGTGTCCGCAAGCCCGACGTGCGGATCGGAGCTGCTTCTTGGGAGCCAACTGCCTGCGACCATCGGAAACAGCACCTTCAATTCAGCAAGATCGGGGTCAACAGATGCCAGGCACTGAATCCGGGTAAAATTCGAATATTCCGTGACATGAGGGATGCCCAATGAACAAAGGACCTGAGCATGTATTCTGGAGGGAACCTCGCTTGCCACAAAAAGACGCGGCTTCGAGAGGCGAGACGTAGTTTCTGCATGAGAGCTCATGAATCTTGGTAGTTGCTGATGTTGTTCCTTTTGGATGATCCTCCTTTTGGATCCAAGACAGACATCAAGCAGCTCTGGCATGTCTGCCTGTCTGATACAGGAAGCAACGCCCATTTGTCTTGACCCCTTCCCAAAAACAGAGGCCTTTGAGTTGGAAGACAAAACAACGAACGAACTAACAAAGCAAACGCAAACCACAAAGCGACTCGCCAGCACGCTAAGAACAGCAGAGACTAGAAGAGAGCCGTTGGGAACAGCGAGGAGCGGCAGAAAACTGAGCTGTCAGCTTCTTTGCGCACATCTCCACATTCTTCTCCCAGACGAGCGCGCGGCCGCCGCCCTTTCCGAGTGAGCCAGTCCGTCTCTGTGCGTCCGTCAATCACTCAGTCAGGCTACGGGAAGGCTTGAAAAACCATTGGGTGGAGGGCCACAAGTGCCTTTCAAATATCCCAAGTTGTCCCATTTCAGGCAAACTACTGGGAGCCTGATGTTAGATGCCCCGAAAAAACGACCCTTGAAATTGGGTCCGCCGGCTTCCGAAGCTGGGCCCAGATCATCATGACCCGAGTCAGGTTTTAGGTCCTAACAGACATAAGGCAGATTACTCTCATCCGCCGACCCCTCGTCCGCAATGGCCGGAGGCAGGCCATCATGGATTTCGAAAGGGCTGCGTTGAACAGAACACATCTTGACTGTCATATTTCGGGGTCACGTGAGGCACCGCTTGCAATGCTGGGATGCGTAACCATCATCATCACTCCGCGCTGGCGGTGTTGGGGATGGCTTGCAATGCCGGGGATGCGTAATCACATGTAATCACCATCCTCAGCATCTCATGATGCTATCCAAGCAAGGGCTTGGAAAAGGGACTGCCGCCGTCTGTCAGTTCCTGCCTGTCACATGAAGGTCGGGCCAAATTGTCACAGCTATAGAAACAGGCTCTGTCACAGCTGTCATGCGGCACCGGTTCAGGCCCAAACCTGTCGGGTGGGGAAAATCAAATCCAGGACGGAAAGACGAAGAACGCACAAGGATCCAACATCTAAATCGCCCCCCCGCCAAAAAAAACAAACGGCGCGAAGCCTGCGGCTGCTAGGCTTTTGAGAGGTCAACCTCGTGGAAGGAGGAGTCTTGAGCATCACCTCGCAGGGTCCATGCAAGCAAAAAACAAATCAGCATCCCCCTCTTGGGTTGCCACATGGCGAAAGCTCACAAAAAAAAAATCCTTTCTCCATCTTCCCTAAGATTGAGACTCCAGATGAGAGGTGCTTGCGAGAGTTCGGGTTGGCACACTCCTTTTGGGGTCCAGGCGAAAATGGACACTGACTGTCGCATGAGGTAATGGCTAGGTCGCTTTCCAGCTCTCCTGTGCCCAGCATGGGCTGCGCTTTCGGCTTTGCAACGCAGAGGGTTTAGTTGAAGCTGAAGCTGAGCAAAAATCCTAAGCCACGAGCCGCACCCTGAGCCGAGCAAATGGTTTTTCCTATGGTCACCTTGCCGATGGCAAGAGAGCGGCTTATGCAAACGTCACCCGGGCATCCATTTGCTTCCAACGGGAAGCCGCGTGTCCGGTCTCACGCAAGCCACCAACTTAGTGGCCGGTTCAAGCACCTCCGATCGGCATATCCCCTCACAAGGCTTGTTTCTGGTCACGCTGGAGAGCAATCGCTGGCGATGCCACAAGACTTCAAGGCATTGGGTTTCCCTGGCAAGTGGAATAACACCCATCTAAACCAGTGGAACCCATCTGAACCTCTGAGCAAACTAACCTAAAAGGGCCACCTATGTGCACTCTATTCACCAACTGGAAAAAGGGGGGAGACTTGAAAGCGGTGCTCAAGTGTCAACCCTGCGAATTCGGCCCCGTAGCCCTCTTGGAGAGAATGGAAGCTCCGGGCGCATGAGCTTTTTTCAGATTTCAGCCCCAGACTCCCCTTGAAGCCAATGGCCCATTTCGAACAACGGTGATCCGAGATGGAAGCTGCTTGAGCAAGAAACATCACCACACATGTCTGAACCAAAGCGCGCAACTCTTTCGCACCACCCCCGTTTTCACGCAAAAACGGGCCTCACGGCACGCAACAGTCCGGGCATCCAAGTGCCCCACAACCCAAAAGGAAACCCAAGGCATGAACCGCTGGGACCTGGTTAGCCGGTTGCTCCCCGACTGCGCCTTCGCTCTCAGCGGTGCCCTGTGCGCTTTCGGCACCCAAAAGGGCATTGCTGATTGTGCGTGGCTGTGATTTTCAATAGGGGACCCTTTTGTGGATGGGCAATGCCACTTGTGAGGTGGTTCTCTCTAAGAACATAGCAAATATAATATTTGAGTGTCTCTATCCCTTTGGCTTCCGTCCCCAAAAGCTTACACTCAAAGAGAAGCTGCATCCCCCGGGAATCCAAGGTTCTTGCTCAAAATTCCGACCAACCTTGGCTGGACTGGCTTTTGAGGGAGTCCTGAAATAGGAACTCCAAACGGTTGATTTCCCTTCGGCCTTTTGAAACCCGTTTAAAACAAGTCCCAAATGCTGGGGCAACCCCATTTTTTGAGGACCAGGACTTATTGAGAAATCGAAAAGGTGGAGTTCCAAGCGCAACTCATTGGCGCTTTCTGGCCCCAACATGCTGGAAGCTGAGACAAGAGCTCAAGCTCGCATACTTTCAACAATGACAAGAACATGCAGTCCAATCTAGTAAGCCAAGGATCCACTGCCCCACGGGCGACGTTACAACGTGTTTTTCAGGGGGCTTGAGCGTGATGGTCCCCATCAACCTATTCTTCTTGGTCCACGCGGACATGCGTCGAAATGTCAGCGGAACTGTTCATAGGACACCTTTCGATTCTTCGAACTCCCCAAAAAACTTCCAAGGGTTTCAGGAGCCACCCATGCAGAGTACGCGATTTACACCTACTTTGGAACCCTGAACTCAAAATGTGTTTCCACACATGTACAACTTGAGCCAAGCGCCTTGTCCACCTGTGCTTCGACTCGAGACTCGAGGGCCCGCCTTATTTGGCTGTGGGTCAAAAATAGGGTAACCCCAACATGGGTTGCCCTGGCAAGTAGCAACATGGACCAAAACCTGTGGTCCAGATCCTGGTTTAATGTTGACAACCACACCCAGGAAGGGCCCTTCAAAAACCACCCGAGCCTCATCCTCATCATCCCAGAGGGTGGCATTGACCTGCGCGGATGCATCGGGACGACGGGGAAAACATCTCAAATGCGGGGGGCTTCGGCCATCTGAACAGCTCCGGCCGTCGCTGGTTCAACGCAGATAGCAAGGTGGCAGCCGTCACCGGTGCTTGCTACAACAAGTACGACAAGTTGCATTACGGGCTCTCCAAAAATTGCCTGGATTTTCCAAGTCAAAAGTTGATCGGACTGGTCGCTTTCCCTGGAAACCATCGACTGGCGGTGTACAGCGAAGTGGCTCGGAAACGGCCGGAGGATCCGGCGCCTTGCCCCCGTTGATGTGCAAGACCACAGGTCCCCGGTCCGTCGGCACCTCGTGAAAGACCCGGCAGTCGGTCGGCTGGCGCGACCAGCGGAGCCGTCGGGTTGATCAATTTTCCCTTCGGCCCTGAACTGAAACAGGTACGGCTCAGAAAAAAACGGCACCGACATCAAAATTTGCGGGCCAGCCCTGGGCCAGCCCACTGAGTAAAGTGGCAACCCTGAGCCGGACAATCGGAGGCGCGACCAAGGGGTGCACCACCACATTGCACTGCTCGTAGGGCCAGCCACCTTGGCGCCGGTTGCGCTCGTGACTCGCGCCACAAATTCTCGTGCGAGGCTAAGGAAGAGGCTCAATGGATGGGCAAAGCTGAAGCTCTCGCACTCGTTTGGTTCCTTTTCTCGGTTGCTTTCTGCTAAAGTTTAACTTTTAGTGGTTGAATGGAAAACCCATTCGTTGGCAAAAAGTCAAAGTCCTAACAACGACAAAAAAATCTTTAGGGGTCATAGAAGTTTGCAACGCTCATGGTTTTCATGGGGTTGACAACCGTCATGATTTTCGTGGGGGTTGACAACCGTCATGATTTTCATGGCGGCTGACAACCGTCATGATTTTCATGGCGGTTGGCAACGCATATGATTTTCGGGGTTTACGTCCTTGGCGGCCGCAGCGTCCATGACGCTCATTTTTCATGGCAGTTGACAACCGTCATGATTTTTAATTATGGGGGTTGACAACCGTCATGATTTTCATGGCGGCTGACAACCGTCATGATTTTCACGGCGGTTGGCAACGCATATGATTTTCCGGGTTTACGTCCTTGGCGGCCGCAGCGTCCATGACGCTCATGATTTTCATGGGGGTTGACAACCGTCATGATTTTCATGGGGGTTGACAACCGTCATGATTTTCATGGCGGTTGGCAACCGTCATGATTTTCATGGCGGTTGGCAACGCGTATGATTTTCGGGGCTTACGTCCTGGGCGGCCGCAGCGTCCATGACGCTCATGAGTTTCATGGCGGTTGACAACCGTCATGATTTTCATTGGGGTTGACAACTGTCATGATTTTCATGGCGGTTTGCAACCGTCATGATTTTCATGGTGGTTGGCAACGCATATGATTTTCCGGATTTACGTCCTTGGCGGCCGCAGCGTCCATGACGCTCATGATTTTCATGGCGGTTGACAACCGTCATGATTTTCATGGCGGCTGACAACCGTCATGATTTTTCACCCCCATGAAAATCATTACGGTTGTCAACTGCCATGAGAATTTTGAGCGTCATGGACGCTGCGGCCGCCAAGGACGTAAACCCCGAAAATCATATGCGTTGCCAACCGCCAACCGTCATGATTTTCATGGCGGCTGACAACCGTCATGATTTTCATGGCGGTTGGCAACGCATATGATTTTCGGGGTTTACGTCCTTGGCGGCCGCAGCGTCCATGACGCTCATGATTTTCATGGCAGTCGACAACCGTCATGATTTTTATGGGGGTTGACAACCGTCATGATTTTCACGGCGGCTGGCAACCGTCATGATTTTCATGGCGGTTGGCAACGCGTATGATTTTCGGGGTTTACGTCCTTGGCGGCCGCAGCGTCCATGACGCTCATGATTTTCATGGGGGTTGACTACCGTCATGATTTTCATGGCGGCTGACAACCGTCATGATGTTTACGGCGGTTGACCTTGGTGGCTGCAGCGTCCATGACGCTCATGATTTTCATGGGGGTTGACAACCGTCATGATTTTCATGCGGTTGACAACCATCACGATTTTCATGGTGGTTGACAACCGTCATGATTTTCATGGCGGTTGGCAACGCGTATGATTTTCGGGGATTACGTCCTTGGCGGCCGCAGCGTCCATGACGCTCATGATTTTCATGGCGGTTGCCAACCGTCATGATTTTCATGGGGTTGACAACCGTCATGATTTTCGTGGGGGTTGACAACCGTCATGATTTCCATGGCGGTTTGCAACTGTCATGATTTTCATGGCGGTTGGCAACGCGTATGATTTCCGGATTTACGTCCTTGGCGGCCGCAGCGTCCATGACGCTCATGATTTTCATGGCGGTTGACAACCGTCATGATTTTCATGGCGGCTGACAACCGTCATGATTTTCAACCCCCATGAAAATCATTACGGTTGTCAACTGCCATGAGAGTTTTGAGCGTCATGGACGCTGCGGCCGCCAAGGACGTAAACCCCGAAAATCATATGCGTTGCCAACCGCCAACCGTCATGATTTTCATGGCGGCTGACAACCGTCATGATTTTCATGGCGGTTGGAAACGCGTATGACGCTCATGATTTTCATGGCGGTTGACAACCGTCATGATTTTCATGGGGGTTGACAACCGTCATGATTTTCACGGCGGCCGGCAACCGTCATGATTTTCATGGCGGTTGGCAACGCGTGTGATTTTCCGGGTTTACGTCCTTGGCGGCCGCAGCGGCCATGACGCTCATGATTTTCATGGCGGTTGACAACCGTCATGATTTTCATGGGGGTTGCCAACCGTCATGATTTTCATGGCGGTTTGCAACCGTCATGATTTTCATGGCAATTGGCAACGCGTATGATTTTCGGGGTTTACGTCCTTGGCGGCCGCAGCGGCCATGACGCTCATGAGTTTCATGGCGGTTGACAACCGTCATGATTTTCATTGGGGTTGACAACTGTCATGGTTTTCATGGCGGTTTGCAACCGTCATGATTTTCATGGTGGTTGGCAACGCATATGATTTTCCGGATTTACGTCCTTGGCGGCCGCAGCGTCCATGACGCTCATGATTTTCAATGGCGGTTGACAACCGTCATGATTTTCATGGCTGACAACCTCATGATTTCAACCCCATGAAAACATTACGGTTGTCCAACTGCCATGAGAATTTAGAGCGTCATGGACGCTGCGGCCGCCAAGGACGTAAACCCCGAAAATCATATGCGTTGCCAACCGCCAACCGTCATGATTTTCATGGTGGCTGACCACCGTCATGATTTTCATGGCGGTTGGCAACGCATATGATTTTCGGGGTTTACGTCCTTGGCGGCCGCAGCGTCCATGACGCTCATGATTTTCATGGCAGTTGACAACCGTCATGATTTTATGGGGGTTGACAACCGTCATGATTTTCATGGCGGTTGGCAACGCGTATGATTTTCGGGGTTTACGTCCTTGGCGGCCGCAGCGTCCATGACGCTCATGATTTTCATGGGGGTTGACTACCGTCATGATTTTCATGGCGGCTGACAACCGTCATGATTTTTACGGCGGTTGACAACACGTATTCATTTTCGGGGTTTACGTCCTTGGTGGCTGCAGCGTCCATGACGCTCATGATTTTCATGGCGGTTGACAACCGTCATGTTTTTCATGGGGGTTGACAACCGTCATGATTTTCATGGCGGTTTGCAACCGTCATGATTTTCATGGCGGTTGGCAACGCATATGATTTTCCGGGTTTACGTCCTTGGCGGCCGCAGCGTCCATGACGCTCATGATTTTCATGGCGGTTGACAACCGTAATGATTTTCATGGGGGTTGACAACCGTCATGATTTTCACGGCGGTTGGCAACGCGTATGATTTTCATGGCGGTTGGCCACGCGTATGATTTTCGGGGTTTACGTCCTTGGCGGCCGCAGCGGCCATGACGCTCATGATTTTCATGGCGGTTGCCAACCGTCATGATTTTCATGGGGGTTGACAACCGTCATGATTTTCACGGCGGTTGGCAACGCGTATGATTTTCATGGCGGTTGGCAACGCGTATGATTTTCGGGGTTTACGTCCTTGGCGGCCGCAGCGGCCATGACGCTCATGATTTTCATGGCGGTTGCCAACCGTCATGATTTTCATGGGGGTTGACAACCGTCATGATTTTCATGGCGGTTGCCAACCGTCATGATTTTCATGGGGTTGACAACCGTCATGATTTTCGTGGGGGCATGATTTTCATGGCGGTTTGCAACTGTCATGATTTTCATGGCGGTTGGCAACGCGTATGATTTTCCAGGTTTACGTCCTTGGCGGCCGCAGCGTCCATGACGCTCATGATTTTCATGGCGGTTGGCAACCGTCATGATTTTCATGGTGGTTGGCAACGCCTATGATACTACATGGTGGTCGGCAACGCCGATGATTTTTCATGGCGGTTGGCAACGCCCATGATTTTTCATGGTGGTTGGCAACGCCCATGATCTTTCATGGCGGTTAGTCGACGCCCATGATTGTTCATGGTGGCTGGCAACGCCCATGATTTTTCATGGGTGGTTGGCAACGCCCATGATTTTTCATGGTGGTTGGCAACGCCCATGAGTTTTCATGGTGGTTGGCAACGACTATGATTTGTCATGGTGGTTGGCAACGCCTATGATTTTTCATGGTGGTTGGCAACGCATATGATTTTTTCATAGTGGTATGCAACGCGTATGAATTTCATGGTGGTTGGCAACGCATATGAATCTCATGGTGGTTGGCAACACACATGATTTCATGGTGGTTGGCAACGCCTATGATGTTGCAGGGCGGTTTGCAAAGCATAAGGCACAGAAAATGGCCGCGCAAAGGCCCTTTTGTAAAAATGGCCGCACAAGGGGTCTTGCGGCAGAGAAGCACCACTTGTGCGGCCGTTGGCAACGCCTATGATTTTTCATGGTGGTTGGCAACGCATAAGGCGCAGAAAATGTCCGCACAAAGGCCCTTTTGTAAAAAATAGCCGCGCAAGGGGTTTTGCGGCAGACAAGCGCCACTTGCGCAGCCGTTCATTTTTTCATGGTGGTTGGCAACGCCTATGATTTTTTAGAGTGGTTGGCAACGCCTATGATCTTTCATGGTGGTTGGCAACGCCCATGATTTTTCATGGTGGTTGGCAACGCCCATGATTTGTCATGGTGGTTGGCAACGCCCATGATTTGTCATTGTGGTTGGCAACGCCGATGATTTTTCATGGTGGTTGGCAACGCCTATGATTTTTCATGGTGGTTGGCAACGCCCATGATTTGTCATGGTGGTTGGCAACCCTCATGATTTTTCATGGTGGTTGGCAACGCCTATGATTTTCATAGTGGTATGCAACGCATGTGAAATTCATGGCGGTTGGCCACGCATATGATTTCATGGTGGTTAGCAAGTTAGCAACGCCTATGATTTTGCACGGTGGTTGGCAACGCATAAGGCACAGAAAATGGCCGCACAAGGCCCTTTTGCTAAAAACGGCCGCACAAGGGGTTTTGCAGCAGAGAAGCACCACTTGTGCGGCCGTTCATTTTTCA